TGAGCTCCCCTTCTCCCGTGGCCGTGGGGAGCGGGTTGTGCTCTCCCTCCGTTTCAGCTTCCTTTCTGCCCGTGGCAAGGATCAACGGGAAATACCGTTTAACGGCGCAAAGATAAAGCTTCTGTTGTGATGCTCCTGTTAAGACGATGCAGGGGCCTTGGAGCGTGTACAGACTCTCAAGAAATTGAGAATATGAGATTAACGACTACAACTAATTATGCAGGAGGTTTTCTGTGGGTAAAGGGTTAGTTATTCAGTCCCTCCCTACACATTACTACAAGTCCATAATTGTTTTTCTCTTCTCTGTCTTGATGCTGCTTTGTGGAGCCTCGAGCCACCCATTTGAACATACTCCTAAAGCGTAGAGCATGTCGACTCCATAGTCCTCTACTTCCCTTACTTGCCGAAGTTTTTGTCAGTAGTTTGAGCTGTTATCTTGTATCCTTCTCCTTGATAACTGCAGTATCTTTCTGGTGGTATAGAGGATTCTGGGTGCATTTATTTAACATGAAATGTCTAAAATCTGCCTGAAAATCTCAGTCTGAGTTTCTGTGTGGACCTTAAATATTTACTTGTATTCTTCATCTTCTTTTTGTAGCAGAAGTCTACTTTCTGTAATTGCATTCCTGTGGCTGGCCACCATTAATAGTGCTATTTGATGTTCCTTTGCAATCCTTGACTTTTATTCTCTTTGCTACCTTTCTGCTAAAGCCCACTGAGCCCTTGCTCCGTACAGCTTTATGCTTTTCTGTTGTGCTTCACCTTGTTACTTGATTGTTTCAGTCAACCTTTACCACTGAACCCATGTTGTCGTCCACTGGGGAGGTCACTTGCAAGGAAGTAGATTGAACAACTAAAAGATACCAGAAAAAGGAAAAGATTTATTATTATTTAGTGTTTGTATTACCATGTATGTGCACCATCTGTTGTGACTTTTATCCTGGTTCATAACCAGTCAAAGCATATAATTGTGCAAGCACAGTAAAAACCTGATCCTTGCCCTAGAGAGTATTCAGCCTAAACATAAATGAAATGGCAATATAAATACAAAAAAGAAACCCAGAGACTTGCTGAATGTTTGTCTGATTGCTGTCTTCCTTAGTAGAGAGCTTATGCCAAGTTTTAATTTAAATGGTAAACGCTACAACGAAGCTGCTTCAGATCCAGTAGTACCAAAATACATAACCACGCAGCTTTATACAAAATTGCTCATATGGCTGAAATGTATGGAAGGTGTCACTGGCAGTGAGGGAGCGAAGGCTCCAGGAGCAGCCTGTAATCAGCTCTCAGGATTGTTTCATGGTGTTTAAAAAAAAAAAAAAAAAGAAAAGAAAAAAAAAAGTATTAAGCAAGTGGAAGGCTGGATTCCAGGGAGACCCAGCTCCCTGCTAGCTTGCTTCCTGCCATGGTCAAGTTTCACTGCTGGTAATGTGATTTGAAAAGGCAGTACACAGGAGGAGGAGGCAGGGACAGACTGCAAAGGAGGACTTTAGAAACATTGCCTGGGCGTGGATGGATGGTGTTAGGAAAGCCAAAGTTCAACTGGAGCTGAGATTTGCAGCGGATGTCAAGAGCAATTAGAATAGCTTCTGCTGCGACATTAGTAGTGAAAATATAAATAAGTAAAAATGTTTGATCATTGCTAAATGGAGCCAGTGGTGGACACAGATGAGGTACCCAATGCCTTCTTTGCCTCAGTCTTCACCAACAAATTCTCTCAGGCCTTTATGTCACTTTGGAGTCAATCATGGAGTGAATCCTCTTGGAAAATGTTTCTCCTCACGTGAAGGAGAAGGCAAGCATGGATTTATGTCTGGTAAATCACGCCTGACCAGTCTGATTGCCTTCAGTGATAAAATGACTGGATTTGTAGGCAACAGGAGAGCAGAGTATGTCATTTACCTTGACTTCAGCAAGGCTTTTGACATTGTATTCTTGTATCCAAGTTAGGAGGCTATGGGCTGGAGGGATGGACAACTAGATAAGTAAAAAAATGTTTGGATGGTCAGGCTCAGAGGGTTGTGTTTAATCAGATATGCTATACGTGGGGGCTGGTAACAACTGGAGCACCGCATGGGTCTATCGTGTGACCTGTCCTGTTCAAAATCTCTATCAGTGACCTGGAGGAAGTGTCAGAGTGCACTCTCATTAAGTGTGCAGGTGACGGCAAACTAGGGGAATCGGTTAATATACTTGAGGGCAGAGCTGCCACTCAGAGGGACCTAGATGCACAAGAGGAATGGGCCAACAGGGACCTTATGAAATTCAACAATGACAAATGTAAATTCCTGCACCTGGAAAGGAAGAACCCCTTGCAACGTACACGCGACAGTGCAGGGGACTGGCAGACTGGAGAGCAGCTCTGCCAAAAAGGCCCACAAGGGCTCTTGGTGGACAGCGAGCTGAACATCAGCCTGCAGCGTGCCCTCACATAGCAGCATCCTGAGCCATATTCACAGGAGCACAGCCAGGGAGTGATTATCCCCTCCCTACTCAGCCCCAGGAGACCACATCTAGATTCCGTGTCCAGTTTGGGGCTACCAGTACAGGAAAGGTGTTCGTCAGTTGAAGGGAGTTCAGCAAAGTTGAAGTGGCGGCTGGTCACGAGCGGTGTTCCCCAGGTCTCAGTTTTGGGGACAGTCTTGTACAATATCTTTATCAATGATCTGGACGAAGGGATCAAGTGCACCCTCAGTAAGTTTGCAGATGACACCAAGTTGGGCGGGAGTGTTGATCTGCTCGAGGGTAGGAAAGCTCTGCAGAGGGACCTGGACAGGCTGGATCGATGGGCCCAGGCCAATTGTATGAGATTCAACAAGGCCAAGTGCCGGGTCCTGCACTTCGGCCACAACAACCCCATGCAGCGCTACAGGCTTGGGGAAGAGTGGCTGGAAAGCTGCCTGGCGGAAAAGGACCTGGGGGTGTTGGTCGACAGCCGGCTGAACATGAGCCGGCTGTGTGCCCAGGCGGCCAAGAAGGCCAAGAGCATCCTGGCTTGTATCAGAAATAGCGTGGCCAGCAGGAGTAGGGAAGTGATCGTGCCCCTGTACTCGGCACTGGTGAGGCCGCACCTCGAATACTGTGTTCAGTTTTGGGCCCCTCACTACAAGAA